AAAAAAAAAAAAAAAAAAACACATCTTAGTAAAACCAATACCTTCTCAGCTTCGCATCGAAGCTAAAAGTAAATTTCATTGTAATCGAGTTACTTTTTTATCATAAATGTAATGTAACTTCATTATTTATAAGATTGAGTAAATTTTAAGTAATTTAATTTCTAATCTTATAAGTCATTAATTTAATTACCAAAAAGAAAAGTAATTTACCTAGCACTGGGCTATCTCTAATGATATGTCTAATTTTATCTAAATATTATTAATTTTAAAACTTACTTTATTTTTCTGATATGTTGCTACTTATATTTATATTATGTGTATTTAAAAAAAGACTGTTGAAGTATAAGGTAGATATAATGAGATATTTTAACTATGAATTCCTTGGCTAATTTTTTTCTAAAAATATATAAAATTAATCCAATACCACAAAAATCAGTAGATACACATATTCAAAAATGTTTTATCATCATCAATGAATAGATACTTCTATATCTGTTAATGTTTAATTTATTTATTATTAATTATTTAGCCACAATTATAATTTTTTTCTCCTATTACACCACTAACCGTGTATAATTGAATAGTTTTTTATTATATTATAAAAAAAAAATCTTAGTGGTAGTCCTAATAAAGTAATATTAATCAAATTTTCATTATTTAATATGATTTCTGTATTGTTAGATGAATACAATGTTAAACCGAAAATTCGTAAAATTGAAAGAAAACTTGTACCTGTTGTCGAAAAGCTATCAGTAGAAGAGTTGATGGAAACCAATACATATCAGAAGTTTAACAAATGCATGGAAAAAGTTTTTGAAAGCACTGAAGAAACTGATAATACACTTGACATGGGTAATTTTATTGATAATAATTTATCTAAATAATTATGAATTAGTATAATATGTCAATAAAATATTGAAAAAATATTAACAGGAGAAGACGATGTCCCACCAGAAGCATTGATTCCAAAATATGTATTGCAAGAGCTCTGCAGTGAATCTGCTAAATTAAAAACTTTAGGGGCTATGGAATCTATCCCATCTAGTAAAATAATACGTCTGTTAAGTATATTAGAAAAAAACATAAGAGATGGTGCCAAAGTTTCACCAATTGCAGACCCAGTTAGTAAAAAGAAAATTTATATTAAAAATACAGGGTCATTATTAAAAAATGGAATGATCCCACATAATACAAAAATAATAAATTACTGAAGATCATTTTTTTTTTTTTCGTTTTGGAGAAGTGGTCAAATAATTTTTATTTGCATACTTCACCTATGTATGCCACTAGTTCGTTAATATTATAATATTCATATTATTAATTTAAATAGGAAGATGATGAATGTGAAAGAAAATTATGGATGGAATTAGCAATGGAAAGAGTTATGCGAGCAGTAGACGCATCTCTTACTACTCTTTATGTTTTAACTTCTCCAAAAATGCAGAAAAAAGTGTATTTAGAAGATGTTATTGATAGAGTTGTTATGTTTACGAAATATCAATTGCATAATACAATTTACCCTGCTTTTGATCCTGTTTATAGGTAAATTAATTTAATTAATTGAACATACATCGAATATACTTCAAACCAATTTATGTTTAAATAGAATTCAGAAGAGTAATGATAACTATACTGGAAGTGCTCGTAAAAAAAGGGCTCATCCAAAAGAAGTGCGAGACAAAAATGTGCTATCATTATATTCTAAATTGGCAGAAGTAGTTTCACTCTTAGCTGAACTTTTACAAATACAAACTCTGACTGATACAGCTGTACTTCATACTTCTTCAATGGCAGTTTCTCCATTTTTTGTTGAAGAAATTAGTGAACTTCAACTATCTGCTTTAAAACTTGTTACGACGGTAGTTTAAAATTTTCACTTTAAATATTATATTGTTATTAATTTAAATACCATTATATTATTTTATTTTCATAGATTTTTACAAAGTATGACAAGCATAGAAAATTACTTTTAGATGATATCCTCGCATCTATGGCTCGTTTACCAAGTTCTAAAAGAAGCTTAAAATCGTATAGAATTAGTTCAGAAGAATATATTCAAATGTTATCAGCACTTGTTCTGCAATTAATTCAGTGTATTGTTATATTACCTCCTAATTTAAATGAAAAACAATCAAACGTAAGTTTTTTTTTGTGAACAAATAATATTCTCGTAAGTGTTTAATTCAAATAATTAGACTTTTTTTTTTTTTATGTAGCATGATCCTGACACATTAATAATTAATAAATTTAAAACTGCTCGAACTACAGCATCAAGTTTTTTGCATGTTTTTTTGTCTAAATGTAGTAGTAAAAGTGAAGAAATTGATTATCGTCCAATATTTGAAAATTTTATTCAAGATTTGTTAACAACTGTAAATAAACCTGAATGGCCAGCATCTGAACTTTTATTAAGTGTACTTGGAAGATTGCTTGTGGCTAACTTTGTCAATAAAAACTTAGACATGTCCTTAAGAGTTGCATCACTTGATTATTTGGGAGTAGTAGCTGCAAGACTTAGGAAAGATTCAGTTACTTCACACCTTAGATTAAAAACTATTGATAGTATAATAATGGACATAAGGGCAGAAGAGCTTAAAGATGAAGATGGCAATTTGACAGTATGTAAATACTTAATATATTTTTTCAACTTTTCAATAATAGAATAAATATTTACTGTTTTATTTATAGGAAGAACCTCAGGAAGTTAAAGATGACGAAGAAAGAACACAGTTTTTACAAAGAGTGCTTTTAGATTATTTGGCTATAAGGAGTTTATCTGAACCAGCTTTAAGACATGCTAGGCATTTCTATTTAGCTCAATGGTATCAAGATAATATAGATGCTGTTAAACTGTCATCTAACACATCTAAAAGAAAAAAGAAAAGTTCACGTAAAAAATATGGTGATTATAATTTTATTTATTTTTAACACGCTTATATTAGTTTCACCTGTATGTATGTTTGTAACTCTCCAAACGCCACGCGTTATCACATATTCCGTCGTCTAGACTAGACTGTCATAACGCATTCACCCCTCCCCACGCCTCGCTCTCCACACGACAGCACACTATTCCTATAAAAATTTATTTTTAGTTATCGTACCCGTACACACGTGCTTGTCATCAATATTATATATATATAAACAAATTTTTATTTTGACTGACCAATACCGCCCGCGTCTAATGCGCCTTACGTATATATATTTATATATTCCTACCACCGTTTATACCTCAGGTATAACGTTAGTCCGACCCACCCGGCCATAAAACACAGCTATACCTAGTGCATGATACATTTACGTAGTTAAGTCGCATTATTTGTGTATATATATATATATATATATATTCTAATTACTATTAAAATTAATATATTAACACGATTTATTCTAATTAAGAGATATAAAGTATTCATTCCGATTACGAGGGATGATTTCCGTATCGTCATTTTTCGTCACTACCTCCACGTTCCGGGAGTGAGTAATTTACGCGCCTGCTGCTTTCCTTGGATGTGGTAGCCGTTTCTCAGACTCCCTCCCCGGAATCGAACCCTGATTTCCCGTTACCCGTAACAACCATGATATTGATAGTAACTACTATCATAACACGAAACTAAAAAGTTAAAAATAATTTTTAAAATAATTATGAATAAAAAATACTAGTATTATTGTAATAAAAGCGTGGGTGCTTTGTACCATATTTTTCGTATATTGAGTGCCCGACGCTTTTATCACAATAATACTAGTATTTTTTATTCATAATTATTTTAAGCTTATTTTAAAAATTATTTTTAACTTTATAGTTCGATGTGCTTTAAAAGCGTGTTTTTTTAGTTTTTTAAACTATATTTATTAATGGATACAATTATTCATTTCCAGAGATTCTGTTATTATAAGTACACACTGTATGATTTCTTAAAATAGTTTTAAATTATAAAATGTTAAAAATTTAGGGTCAGATGATGAAGATGAGGGTGAAAGTAGTGATTCAGCTGACGAAATTGATACACAAAAAGATGAACATAAAACAGCTGAGAATATTAAAATTTGTGAAATAAGAAAAGAGTATTTACTTACCAAAATCAATCCATATAATGATGAATCAACTCAAGTAATGCAAACCTATATAGATTATGATAGTGCTGAGTTAGTAGCTAGATATTTAGCATCTAAAAGACCATTTTCTCAAAGTTTTGATACATACCTTAAGCATGTAAGTTATTTTTCTGTATTTTTTCAATATAAACAGCTATATAATTACTTTATTATAGATCATCAAAGTTTTGACTGAAACTTCAGTGAATATTCGAACAAAAGCAATGAAATGTTTGACAATGATTGTTGAAGTTGATCCAGGTGTTTTAGGGTTAAAAGAAATGCACTTAGGTGTAAGTCACTCTTTCCTAGATCATTCAACTTCTGTTAGGGAAGCAGCTGTTGATTTAGTTGGAAAATTTGTTCTTAGTCGTCCAGAACTTATTGATAAGTATTATGATAAATTATCAGAAAGAATTTTAGACACTGGTGTCAGCGTAAGAAAACGAGTTATTAAAATAATGAAAGATATATGTACTGAATGTCCAGACTATCCCAAAATTCCTGAGATTTGCGTTAAAATGATAAGACGTGTAAATGATGAAGATGGAATCAAAAAATTAGTTATGGAAGTGTTTCAAAACATGTGGTTTACTCCAGTACGAGAAAAACCAACACTTGATACAAAATCACTATTACGAAAAGTATTGAACATAACTGATGTTGTAGTGGCTTCAAAAGACTTAGGCTTGGAATGGTTTGAACAGTTATTGTTAAGTTTATTTAAACCTAAAGAAGATAAAGATGACTCAGCAAAAGTTGCTACTGAACCACCAAAAGTATTGATTACAGCATGTAAGCAAATAGTTGATTGTTTAGTAGAAAATGTTGTTACGTTAGATGGTGGAGGTGGTGGAACATCACAGCAACTTGTAGCCTGTTTAACTACATTATATTTGTTTGCAAAAATTCGCCCTCAACTTTTAGCAAATCATTCTCTTACTCTACAACCATATTTAAGTTTAAAGTGTCAGGTAAAAATCTTAGTAAATAATTTTTTTTATATAAATAGCTAAAATTATGACAATGTTGTATAGACTCAAGGTGACTACCAAATAATTAGTTGTGTTGCTCGAACATTAGAATTAGTAGTTCCTCTAATAGAGCACCCTAGTGAAATTTTTCTCTCACAACTTGAAGAAGATGCAGTTAAACTTATAATGAAACATGATCAAACAGTAATTTTGAGTTGTATATCTTGTTTAGGATCTGTCGTGAACAATGTTACTAGAAACTTTAAACTAATTAGAGATTGTTTTGGAATATATTATAGTAAGATTTTTTATTATTTATTTTTAGAAGCAAAATGATGATTCAATTTGTTTTTATAGAATATTTAGGAAATTTCCAAAAGCTACATCAAGATCAATGTACAAATCCTCAAACATTGATTCCTCTGCGACCAATTTTTCGGCGGTCAATATACATTGTTGGTTTAATGTTGAGATTTTTTGATTTTTCTGACAAAGAGGTTTATGGTGATACTTATCCGGTAAATTACATAATAAAATTTTATTTTAAAACATAAAATAGAATAGAATTGAATATTATTTTTAAATACTTTCCTTCAAAATTATTTTTTTCTATTTAATATATATAACATTTATAGTATTTATCATTTAATAGGAAAATATAAGAAACATTATTTATGATATGATGTCATATTTTATGCATGTAAATGAAGAAGATACAAAATTATTTGCTTTGAAAGCAATTGGCTCTATTTGCATAAGACATTATGATTTTATGTTATCTCAAGATTTGATGAATGTTTATTTAAATATACTCTCCAATGATCATGCTTCGAATACTATGAAAAGCCAAGTAAATGTCATAAAATTATTTACATTTTAAAATTGCTTTTATTAAATTATTTTGCTTTATAAAAAAAAAAAAGAGTAATTTTTAAAAATTGTTCCCAAATTTAATTTTAAACATTTTTTTTTGTTTTTAACTGGATTGGTCAGGTGTATTAAGTCCTCTTGTAACCTCGTATAATAGAATGTGTTTTTAATACTTATCTGTATAAATTACTTATTTCCCACATGTATATACATATAGAAGTTATATGTAACAAATGACTAAAATAACTTAATTTGAATTTATAATTACTAGATTTTAAATAACATTGAAGTGTACCTAGAAGAAGAAGAAAAACGTATGATTAAACAAGATTTGGAATGTAAGAATTAATGTTTATTTTTATAATTGTTATTTATTTATTTATATTTTTTAAAGTCTCAACTATTTATTAAATTTACTCTTACTATGGAATAATTTATCCTAAAGGGTCGAAAATGTCGAAAAAAGAAAATCTTAAAGAAATGGGAGATGTATCATCTGGAATGGCTAGTACAGTAATTCAGTTGTATCTTAAAGGAATATTAAATTCTTTTTTACACACTAGTGTACAAGTTCGCCAAGCAGTCCTTAAAGTAATTCAACTTATTTTAGCACAAGGACTGGTACATCCTGTCCAGGTAAAAATTATGTAGTTATATATTGTATATTTATTTTTTAAATTTGGAAATATTTTGATTAAGAAAAAATATATATATATACTAATGATCTCAGTAGTCAAGCCTTTTGTTATAATAAAAAAATATGTTTATATTTTTTCTTTAATTTTTTATTATAGATTGTACCTTACTTAATATGTATGAGTACTGATACAGAAAAATTAGTTAGTAGCCGAGCAGACAAACATTTACAAGAAATTGAAAAGAAATATCCTGGATTTATCCATATGGGTGCTCAAAATGGTATAAAGTTATCTTTTCAACTTCAAAGTATTGTACAACCTAATGGTGCAATGGTTCGTGGTTATCGTCTGAAAGAAAATGATACTATTCCTAGTGCCTTAAATGGATGCCTATATTCAATACTTAGAACAAAACAACAAAGAAGAGCTTTAGTACTGTCAATTTTGAAACAATTTGAGGATCAAGGAGTAAAGATTATTAGGACATATTTTTTATAATTTATTAACAAATAATAAATGTTTATTATACTAATTTTAGAAAACAAATTTGGCCCAAATGTTATATTTAGCTGACAACTTAGCATATTTTCCATTTCAATCCCAAGATGAACCATTATTTATAATACACCATATCAATACAATGATATCAGTATATGGAACAAATTTGCTTCAAAATTTTAGAGAAGTTTGTAGTCTAAACTTTTAAAATAACTTATTTAAACTAAATGTATAATTATTTCTATTGTGCATATTATCATTAGGGCCTTCTTCCAAATCCTAATGCTCTACCACATCATAATAAAATTGAGGGTGCTATAGAAGACGAAGATGATGAAGATGAAAATAGTCTTTTAGAAAGAGTACCTGATGATATAACTAATTTACAAGAAGTGTTAATAAAGTCCCAAGGTTGCCTTCTACTTTTAGTTCTCAAACAATATCTCAAAACAGTGTATGGAATAACAGATTTGTATGTTATTTATATATATATTATACATATTAGTACTTATGGATAGTTAAATAAATAGTAATTTAATTTACAGAAAAATAACCCAATATTCTCCAGCTGAATCTAGTAAAATGTATGATAAAAATCTGAGCAGAAAATCAAATGCAAAATTTAATCCTAAAGCAACTATTCAAAAACTTCAAAATGGATTAGAAATTAATGCAACAGATATTTACAAGGCTAAACAAGAATTAATATCTCATTACTTAGAAGTATGTTGTTATAATGAAATTACATTTATAATTTCAATTATTGTTATATCATATATAGGGTTGGTCAGTATAATACATAAAAGTAGAATATGTATTATATCTATCTATTTTATGATATTATATATATGTGTGTAGTACTTCTAGTTTAATTTTCTATAAAAATAATTTTTTACTATAAAAAAATAGATAAATAATTTTTTGAAAAAAAAAACCTTTTAATAATAAACGTAAAATGTGCATTATTTTAGTTAAATATATTAAAATTATTGATACTAAGTGGTTAACTTAAAATATGAACCATTATAATAGGGTTTATCAAAAATATCAATATTATGATTGAATATTTCTGAATTCCTTAAAATATTGATTATTAAGATAAAAATGAATGTTTTAAAAAATAGTTAAAATTTAGATTACTCAATTTATAATTAAGTTAAATTATACTATGTTTGATATTAGCACAATAACAGTTATGCGATGATTTAATGGATATTTCTTGTATTAAAATATTACAAAATTTAGTTTTTTACAATTAAATTATAAATTCAAAATGATTAACTTAAAATATAGAAAATAATAATATATATAGAACTGTTCTGGTTGACATTTATTAAGGTCATTCAAGTATCAGGTAAGATTAGTATAATTTAGGGATTGGGTTTTACTCTGGATTGTAAATTGTTTAACATAATAATATATTAAATAATATGAAATTCATGTACATTATTTTACTTTAATAGGTTTTCACTTGAATAATAACTATTAATTTTATTTTCATTGCATTATAGTTTGATTATTGAATACAATTGGTAACAAAACAAATATAATAATTAAAAAGAAATATGTTATACATAAATGTAAATTAATATGGGATATATCATAATTGCTTAAATGTTTAAAAATAAGTTCATGTGATTCATTTTCTTATCATTTATCACACTAAAAAAATAAATATAAAAAATTAACTTATTTACATGAATTTAAAATATTTTAGTTTTTACTATATTATAATTATTATATAAATTGTACTCTCACTCATATACGCCCATCACAAAGGGACATAGTGTAATGCAGTGGATCAGTCGCCACCTTAGCGCTGATGTTCAGCTGTGTTATTTGCTGTTAGTTCCTGGATTGGTGACCATAAGATAACTTTAATAGTGACACACATATTTCCTTAATGGTAGTTCTCTTATCAATAATAAGGTTGACAGCCGAAAAAAATTTTTCCAATCAATAGCTGACTCCAAATATTGCTATAGAGGAAGACGATTATGATAAACAAGTCATTTTTTTAACCCTAGCACTTCAATTTCTTTTAATATTATAAGGTTTTTGTTATTTACATATATATTTTCATTTATCTGTTATGAAATAATTTTTATTTTCATCTCTTATATCTTATTAGGGTGTCAATTACATTTTAAAATGGCACATAAATAATAAACTAGCTTATGAAATAGAAAATGGCTGGTTGATAATAACTTTTGAATCAGTATTTCAGAAATTATCAATAATTTCAAGTTATTACTTGAAGTGAGGAATGGGTGTTGCTATTTTATCAATAGTCTATTCCCAGTCATACTCTTCCTCCCACCTAGGTATGAAAATGAGAATAACTTCTGAAGTACTGGTTTAAAAGTTGTTATCGATCAATCATTTTCTTAATTAGATCATTTTCTATTTTATACACTATTTTCTATGTCATAAAAATTATTTTATACAGATAAATGGAAATACATATTTAAATAACAAAAACTGAAAAAAAAATTTTCAAAAAACTTTATATATTAAGAGAAATTAAGTGGCTAGTGTCAAAAGAATCATTCTGTATAATATAATCAAGATGTGTAAAACATATTATACTTGTAATTATTTAAACCTACTAATATGTTGATATTTTATATTAGTTGTGCAAGAGAAAACAATATTTTATCTGAATATTATTTTACTACAAATTAATTATTTTTTATATTTATTTATTTTTTAATTTAAATTATCTTATGTATAAATATATAAAAATGTAATATAATTAGTTAAATTGTGTGTAAAAATATTAAAAATATCCTACTAAGTTTATAACATTTCAACATCCTTTCTAGTTAACTATTTACAAAAAATTTAAAAATGAATAATTTTGCTGATTACCTAACAGTAATTTTAAGTACTTTTAAATAACATTCTTTACTTCCACAAATGTATAATTATTCAATTTTTAGCTTAAACATTTGATCATAAATCTTGATCCTGATGATGAAGGAACTGATGATGCTGGAGGAACACCTAAAGCTCTAAAAGCTGTTCCTTCTACACCTGGCAATAATATCAACTCTTCTATTCCACAAACACCAACTACTCCTAATCATATGGATTCATCTAGTTTATCAAATACATCTCCAGAATACTATAAACAAGTACATTTTTGATAAACTATTTTTTAATATAATAACTACCTTATTTATTATTTATTTATTTATAGAATAATGTGCAATCAACACCAAAGGTTCCTAAGTTAACGATTATACCACCTAAACCACCATCTTCCAAACATTCTCATCACCATCATAAATCACATAAATCAAAAAAAGCTGATCGCCCTAAAAAACATCATCATAAAAGAAAGAAAGCTAAAGGTGGTGGAAGCTCTGAAGATAGTGACAATGCATATAGTGATCCAGATTTCTTAGTGTAAACAGGTACTTTGTTGTAATTTATTGATTTTGTAAATAGGATTTGTCTTTCTTTTTTTGTAAAGTATTTGTTGGCAGATGAATTATTTATATTTTTATGAATAACTATTAAAATTAATATTGTATTTAGTGCTCAATTGACTATTCTTAATATGAGTTATAAATTTGATAACAATTTATATTTCAAAATGAGCACATGATGTGAGGTCTGATAATTTTAATTTTTCTTAAAATTATGAAATAATTGTTTTCCCACTATTACTAATGTTGTGATATGGTGTATAAAAGATTATAATTTTTCATTGTAATTATGATTTTATCAAGATTTAAAGCCTATATATTAAATAAAACCTTATATATATAGTATGTCCCGTCATATTCTGACATCTTTAATAACATTTTTATTGACCAAATATTTTGTGTTACCTTTTTTTTAATTAATAATTTTTACAATTTTGAACTACATTAAAAGCATGAATTCAAATAATAAAAAATATGTTTTAAACTTAATCCTAAATTGTAAAAGTTATTTAAACAAAACAAAGTAACGTAAAATATTGACTGGATTAAAAGTAATAAAAAATGTCAGAACCTGGTAGGACATTCTGTATCTATAATATATTCTATTATTAAAAATTATATTGGTATAGTTTGGTGTTTCTTTTGATCAACAATAAAAACTAGTCAGCCAATTTAACCTTTAATCAATATTATCAAAATATGAAAATTTAAATGTTTTTTAATTAATTTTTGTATACTTTTTCAAAAAGATTTTTTTTGATACTTATATAATTTTTTTTTTCTTTGAAGAATTATTTATCTTGTTTTTTTTTTATGTATTTTTCTTAAATTGAACATAATTGTATTAGTCTAATATTTAGAGAAATAAATAAAATATGATGATTTTTTTCTTGAATGTTAGCAAATCTCATCCTTATTCATTAATTAATTTATTTTTATTAAAAACACATGATTCATTGATGGTTTATGCCATATTTTTATTATAAAGTATTAGGCAGGTATGATTATAATTATTATAATAATTATTCTATATGTTAAAAAATAAAAAAAAATACGATAAAAAAAATTATCATTTAGTAGGTGAAATTGTTAATAAAAGCAAATGTTTTTAATAGTGTACTAATAATGCAGGTTTACTATATAAATAACTTAATGTTAATTAGTATGAATTTATTGGTTAAAAAAAAGTATGGATTATATATATAGGGAAACTTTTTTATCATAACCCACTCAAATGCAGGATAAAAATAATTTAAACAATTTTTTTGTTACATATTGTTGAAGTATTAGCTATGTAATACTTTTTAAGTTCATCCTTATGCCTTGTAAGAATGTCAACTTTGTTTTTTTTAATAGGAACACATATTTTGAATTTAATAGTGAATGGCATTTGCATTTTTAATATAACTTTATTTGTTTATTAGATATAAAATTAAAAAATTTAAAATTATATGTTAATATACATGTATGATATACAAAGGATTTCAAATACAGGTTATTAATTGGTGTTTTAGGACGTCACTATTCACAGCATTTATTATCAATGGTAGTAAGGCACATAGTGAGTTTATAATTACACCAACTGATGTGTTTATTGTAAATTATGACTATCAATAGATCTCCTTTCTGTATTGACAGTTGATGTATTTACAAACTCACAATAATGTGCCTTATTAACATTGATAATAAATGCTGTGTATCTGAGAATATTGACGTTATAAAAAACCAATTAGCAACCTGTATTTGAAATCCCATTTATTATACATGTATATTAACTAAAAAATTTTATATCTAATAAATGAATGGTTATATTAAAAATTCAAGTGCCATTTATTAAATTATAAACATAAACATTTTTTTTAATTCAAAATATGTTTTCCTATTTAAAAAAAAACACAGTTGACCCCCTTACAAGGCATAAGGGATGAACTTAAAAAGTATTACATAGTTAAAAATTCAAGAATAATGTGTAACTAAATGTAACCAAAAAAAAATTATGTTTTATTTATTTTTATCCTGTAAGTATTTAAGTGAGTTATGATAAAAAAAATCATTCTATATATATATAATATTTACAATTTTAGTTAAGTAACACTGCGATATATTTAGTAAAATTATTAATTTACTATTTGAAACAAATACAATAAATTAAATGATAAAATTTTGTACATTAAATATAGTGTTCAGTAAGTAAGGAAACTAGTTTCTATTATTCTAATTATTTGTAACAAACAATGAAAACAGACAATTTCATTGTCTGTTTCCTTACTTACTGAACACTGTATAAATTAAAAATTTTATTGTTATTCATTAAAAACGTGTTTGAACATAGAAGAAGAGTATCATATATTAGAAGAAAAAATAATATATTCCATTTATTTTTAAAACTAATAAATGACTAAATTGATATTTATTTCATATTTTAACTAAAAAAAATGTTTTAAACTAGCAATATATTTTATGCATCTGAAAAAAGAAAACAAAATTGAATTTTTACAAACATACAAGCCAAAATACTCATGTAACAAGGGAAATAATCAACTGTGATCATTTACTTTAGTGTGGAAGATAATAAAAATAATAATAATGTCTATAAATTTAAATGGGTAAAATATTGTACTATTATAAATTAAAATGTATCAAACTTAAAAATTTACTATGATGCTAATTTTTTCCATTAAAGTAAATGTTTAAACAATTTATATGTTTATAATGTAAATGATTTATTTTTATAATGATAAAATTCATTATAGTAGCTATACATATAATTTATTATTAAAGTATGTAAATTAATTTTTTTTATGTAAACAATATGATTTCTAAATTTAAATATTTTTCAGCAATATTTTTATTACTTCATTGTTTATTTATGTAGATGTATTGTTTTATAAAGTAACTGTACAAAGTGTAACTAACCACCTAAAGAAAATAAATAATTATATTTTAATATTTTATTTTTAAACATTACCTTAATTACGTCCAAATGATAATATATGATAAAAAACATATATTTTAGTTTAGTTTTATGACTATTTTTGTATATTCATAACACTTGATAAAATTGAAGGCAAAGAGAATGGACTATTCTATTGTTGTCTTTAAAATAAATTTAAAAAACCAACACATTGGGAGCACAGCATAGTTAGAACAAGTAAAGATAATATCTGATAGTAATTAAAATCACTATCATAAAAATGCTTTAGATATTTCCTTTTAATTTGATGTACATTTTTTGAAAATTTAACCCTTTACCTGCCCGCAGAAAGAATTTCAAAATGGCAAGTTTTCCCCGAAAAATTAACTTTTTCAACTAAATTTTTGAAAATGTACCGGAAATATTGACACTTTTAATTAATCTTAAATTAAAGATTATGTAATATACTTGAAGAAAACAAATTCGAGGTCTAAGTCGTTTTTAGGGTGAATATGGCCACCATTTTCAAAAATATGCATATTTGTGTTAAACTTTTTGGTATTGTATTTTAATTTATTTTAATATACCTTAGAAAAGAAGTACATTGATTTTAATGAATATTATATAAATCTCATTGACATACAACATAAAGTTAAACTTATTTAATTTTTTTTTTTTCAAGAAAAATAACTGAAATTGCTTAGATAACCATTTTTATCTGCCGATCAAATGCGATGTACGGTTCACGATTCGGTAATACTTGTGTTTTTCACGCTTTAGATACGAAGTTTGAACCCCAAGTGGGAAAGAATTTCTTGCATATTTTAGCTTCGATGCGAAACTGAGAAGGTATTATTTTACTATGATGTGTTATTTTTTTTTGTCTGTTTTCACTTTTTCTCAGCTCTCACCGAACGGATTTCTTTCAACAATACGCCAAAAGATCACAAATCGTATCTAGTCGAAAACATTACTCTCAAAAATTGAAAAAATTTCCCTCGTTCCCGTAAATGGAGGTTTCCCTCCAAAAAAATTACAAATTTAAAAATCGCTAATTTTCGAAATTTTTTCAATTTTTTTTACTAAACTGCCATAACTTCTTCAAAAATGAACATATCAATATAATTTTTTTTTTATAGATGCTTAATGTCTTTACCTATCATTTGGTTACCTATTTTTTTCATAAATTCAACCCTTTAACTGGCCATAGAGGGGATTTAAAATGACAACTTTTTCACAAAAAATTAACTTCTTCAACTTAACTTTTGAATGTGTTCCGGAAGATCTGACACTTTTATATATATTTTAAATTAAAGCTAATGTAATATACTTTATTATGGAAAATTTTGATCTGTAGACTTGGCTTCGTGGTGAAAATAGACATCAATAAAAATCGAAGCTAAAATTACGATTTTTGTAAAATAATTTTTTATATTTTTAACTTAATAATGCTATAACTTTTCGGAAAATGTATGGATCAGTAAATTTTTTTTTTTTATATAGATGCCTGATGTCTTTACCTATCACTTGGCATATATTTTTTATAAATCTAACCCTTTATCTGCCCACAGGGGGAGATTTAAAATTACAACTTTTTCACAAAAAATTTACTTTTTCAACTTGACTTTTGAAAATGTTCCGGACACTTTTATATATACCTTAAATTAAAGCTAATGTAATATACTTTAATTTGAAGAATAAAACATTTGACCTCTGGATTTGTCTTCATGGTAAAAATGACTACCGTATGCAAAAATATTCAATTTTTGTGAAAAAATTCTTGATATTATATTTTATATTTTTTAAAATTATGTTACTGTTAAAACTTAGAATTGATAGAAAAAGTCAGATTTTTCAAAAATTTCAGATTTGAAAACGGTGCGAAAAGTTGATTTAGAAAAGAATATTTTTGATTCCTATGATAATTCCTTGTAGACCAATGTATTTATTAATAAGTAAAATACAATTTTTTTTATAAACTATTGCATCAAGCCCTTTAATTTTTATACATGTTTGTTATAAAAGTAACCAAATAAAAAAAATTATCATTTTTTATTATTTCTCCATAAAAATTATAATATTTAATTATTAAATATTATCATACTATATTTAATTGCTATATTTAATATTGTTTAATATTCAGAAATTATACGATTAAATCTAATAACGACTAATAAGAATAAAATAAAGGAAATAGGAATTGATGTGGCTTTAGTAATAATGCACCAATTTCTTAGAATTAAACACTATCTATCAGACAATCAATTTTATATTTTTTTACTTTAAATTGCTAGAACTTTTTGAAAACTGTATAGATCAACACGTTTTTTTATTTCTAAATACTTTATATATACCCCTTTCATCCGATATTTTTTCTTTTTAAATTGAGCAATTACCCAAAAAAATCTTATACGAGGGGCGTTCAAAATTTAAACATTCGTATAAAAAATAGAACTTTTGAAAATGTTTTGGAAATACTGCGTCTTTTAAATATATGAATATTAAAGCTCATATTACGTACTATAAGCTAAAAAATATTTTGTCTCGATGTTTTATCTTCTACGTGCAAATGATCAACGAAATTGAATAAATATATAATATTTGTATAAAAAACAATGTTATTTTGGTACTTAAAACTGCCGGTCGTCGAAGTTGGACAAATTTATTAAGTATTTAATTATATATTACACTTATATATCATAAAACTTGTAGTCAAGATATAAATAAGAAGGTAGAAGTTAATTTTGCTTTTGGAATAATCCACGAAATTCTTAAAATTAAATATTATCTACAGATTTTGATCACTGTCAGATATCATCTATACTTGTCCAAACTATGCCACGTCCACACTATGCTGTTTTTATTAGATTAATTATAATAAAAAAAATATTATAGTCTATAAAATTAATTTATAAGACCTATTTTGCCTTTTTTATCACCTAAGAATATTTATATGTATAATCTTTGATTGTCTAAAATAATATAAAATAGTAACTTTTAAAGTTAATTTAATAAAAATAGCTATTCTTCTGCAGAATTATTAACTTTTAACAGTTTAATCACTAGAGATAATCCACTAAAAATGAAAAATACATACAAATTTTTCAATTTTAAATTCCTTGAAAATATTTATATTTTTTATATTTATATATATATATTTAATATATGATATATATTTATTTATATATATCAGTATGTGTTTAGCGTTGATAATGGTAACATTGTTTCNTTCCTTAATTTCGATTTTAGTGACACAACTTGTAAGACAAGTTATCTGTTATCTTGTCTTATCTGTTAGAGCTCTTTTAATTTCACACACTTCAGTGTCGGTGTGTAATCTTCCGATTACAATTTGATATTTTTTTTCTGGTTTTAATTAATATCTGATAATCAATTTTATTTTTTTTTAGCAATTTTAAAGTACACCTGAATTGGTATTCGTCACTATCCACATAATTTTAATATCACCATAGCAATAGTTTTTTAACTATTGCAAAATTTTCAAATTATATTTGTGACAATTATCACAATTAATATTATAAAAATTTAAAACAAATTAAATAATTTCTTTTACTATAATAACTTCATCATTTATCATAAATAATTTTATAATGAATATATAAACATTAAAGGTAACCTCTTAAATTTCAAATTTTATCAGTATATACATTATGTAATTAAATAAGTACGCTTTGTTACAAAGTAACATTTGATGTAATTACTCATGAAAATACTTATATCAAGGATAATAAACTTGTCACTATTTTTCATTGATCAACAAATTCCTTAAGATTATTACTTTAATTTTTTCCAATTTCACGTTTCTTTACTTCAATTATTTTTCTTAGTTTAATCATTTCTTGCTCATTTGCAACAATTCGCTTGACCATTTTTTCCATTTCTTCAATCAAAGCATTTCTCATTTTATATATAATGGCTTTTGAACACTGATCATTCCTATAAATAATTAACGAAATTTAATAGATTTTTTAAAACATTGAGTAGTAATAATAGTAAAAAATAATAATTTTTATCAATATTTATTTAACTATTGGGGAGCAAGTAGTATATACAATCAAAAAATATAAAATAATAATATTAAAACTTTCAATATTCAATATAAAATTTAATTTTATTTATGTACTATTCACTATAAGCTTTGAAGATAGATAGTATCTATATACAATGTATTTATTATAGTAAATATTTTATAAATTGTCCAGAAAAAATAATTTGTCTTTTGAACTGCTACCATTGTATTTACAAATCTTTAAGTATGGTCAAAGACTATACTTGAAAAATGTTGTAATACTTAAAAATCTATAAGACAATAGCAATGTAAGAGGCTAATTATTATTTTTTAAGTGATTTACAGTTATTTACTTGACTCTTTATAGATGTTATATCTATACTCAATACTATAAGTCACATAAATATTAATCGTTTAAAATATATTAAAATTTACCTTTGACCAAAAACTTTGTGTATGATGTTGGAGTATGATTTACAGTTACTAATTAGATTAATATTTGTTTTATATCCAAGATTATCACTTTCAATAAATGGTTTAGTGCTCAAATTAACAATATCTACTTTAACTGGCATTAAACATTTTCTAAAAGTAGAACAACATAAATAATATAATGATACCTATCAATAATTATACAAAATAAGATTAACAATTGATTATTGAGTTTTATAAGAAATGAAAATTATTCTAGCATTTACATTTTTACAATTTTCTTAAAAATATGTGTTCTTTTTAAGTGACTTTGTTACTGCACAATTAAGTTAGTTCTTCTGTTACTACTTATTAAGAGTTTGTTCAAATAAAAACTATTGGAATTAAAAAGTTAACCGAATTAATAAATATTGCATATTACTAAATGAGTTACATTAAATTGTATAAGTAATTGAAAATATAATAGAAACATGTCTTGAGAGAGTAAAGAGTCTAGAGGACTAGTTGGTTGTGGAAAGCATATCAATACTCCATAATTTTTGATAAACTAATTTGAAAAAAAAGATTTGTTTTAGAAAAAAAAATAATTTTACAATTTTTTTTATTAAAAATCGTCACAATTTTTTTTAATCTCCTATAATTTAGGATAGCTATATTTTTATACTGAAAATATGTAAACAAGAGTGTGAGTAAAAAAAAATTTTACAGCATGAAACGTCTAGAGTGCATTTATGAAAAGAGCAGCTATTGAGAAGTATAACAAAAAAATGCAAACTTTTCATACAACAAATTTAATTAACATACAAATATACTGCCTCCCTTTTGGACTCACACCTGCTCGAGTAGAATGTTTAAGACATTATTATGGTGTCAGTCCATAGCATGTACCCCAGCTTCTCAAGTGTAATTTTGAAATACCCTCAATATTTATTGCAATATTTTCAATTTGCTCTAAAAAATAAATGTATTCTCCAGAAAATAAAAAATAAATATAAGTATCATTCAGTTTTAAAAAAATTTAATAAATTTGAATTTTTTAATATTTACTAAAATTTAAATTTAAATATTAGTAAATAAAAAGAGGAACACTTAGATAGTAAAATATTTAATATAGTAACTAATTCATACAACTAGAATACACTTCATCATATAACAAAATACATACCTAAATTTACTTTTGAAAAATATGTGATTAAATTTATGAATCATTGATTCATTGAAATCATGATTTAAAATACAAAATAAAAATTTGTTCTTCGAGACGGATATTTTATCAAAATAATAACTTAATTGCATGTGAAAACATTCATCATTAATACTTGGGTTTAAAACTGAATTTCGACGAAAATGATACCAACCAATTACTGATTTCTGAAATTTTAAATATTGTACTATACATATTAAATAATAAATATAAATAAATAATAATAAAAAAAAAATTAAATATTTTACATAATATTAGAATATTATGTTCAAAAAATTTACACAGGGAAGAAATATTTAAAAGTGCATCATAAATCATGTAAAAAACTTTGTACCATATAACCCTAAGATATTATGACAACAAACATTACTGCTAGCTTAGCAAGTACTTATCATTTACATGTTAATATACTTTTGTTTAGGCTGATTGTGTGGTGTGTGAATGAGGAAAAATGGATACCACGTCAAAATAAAAATAATTATAAGTTTAGTTACAATCAAAGGTATAACATACCTCAAAATTATCAGGACCTTTTTGTAAAAAATTTTTTAGTTTTTTAAAATCTAATTTCAGTGAATTTACACACATAAGTTCATAAAAATCTGGTACAGGATATGAAGCATGAATACCTGAAAGAAAAAATAAATATAACATTTTTAACTGAAATGTCATTATTAAAAATTTGAATAATTCATTTTTACAAATTGTTTCTTCAGTTATTGTATTGTTTAATGATTCATCGGTTATAATGTTTGATACTTTTACATTTTTTTCACCAATTAAAAATCCAATCTAAAAATAATAACTTATATTAGATTAAACATATAATATTTAGAGTGTCCTATCAAGTTCTAACATCTGTAATAACTTTTGATTCGGCAAATAATTTGCAATACTTTTTATTGAAATAATTTTTACAGCTTTGGAATAAGTTTAAGTAAATACAATTCGTTCTGGTGTGTATTTATAATACATTCTCCGCTCACACTACAAAAATTGATATTTTAAAATTTTTAATGCATTATTTAAAATTGAAATATAATTAGAATTGCTACATGTTATTATTTTATGAAAAGAAAAGATACCAGATTTTAACACAAACACATTATTCTATTTCTAAAGAACTATGATTAATCAATTAGAACTTAAAGAAAAGTAAGGTGCAAAACATATTACAATTTAAGAGTCTTTTATTTCATTTTTTCAAATACTATCCAAACTATTGAAGTATTGAAAAAATTTGATACATTTTCTGTAAATTAAAAAAGTTAAATAAAATTTTAACTATCTATAATAATATTTTATTAATAAGTTTAACTAATAATTTTTTTAATGACTTAAATAACATATTAACCTGGTCGTAAGGTTCTTTTTGACAGTTATACTGAGTGATAGCAAGAGTTGGAGTAGTCACGACAAATCTTAAATCATAATATTCTTGAGACATTTTTTTCTAAATAGTAATAATTCATTAAATTTCAAATAATTTTTACAATTTTTCTAAAAATTACTAATAGATTTAAGAGTTGACTAAAATTTTAAAAAAATGACCTCAATCAATAAAATAATTTACAATATACTGTAAATACAACACAATAATATCAAACATTATTCACTAAAAAATATCGTCTAATTTATAGATAAGGTAATAAATAGATATTGATACATCTACTTTACCAATACTTTGAAATTATAAACACGGATAGAACCATAGATAGACATATAATTAGTATAAACTCAGAATAGATAAGACCTTATCTTTTCTGTGATGTGATGGTTAAAAAACATCGATTTTTCATCAAAATAAATATTGATGTTTAAATTTCAATTTTTTTTTTTAATAACACTTGTTTCATTTTTAGATTTTTTGTGCATTTATGTTTAAATTTAAGTAAACTGTACTACAACATCGAATATTTGAAAAATTAGTCTGTGACTACACTGTCAATCAAGCCTAGATATTGAAATAATTTCGATTTTTGTCAATTTATCTTATATTTAGTTAATTAGTTCATCTATTGTATTATATGTATTGATTTTTTTTAAGTACATGTTAAAAAATAATTATGGAAACCAAAAATAAAATGATATCGTCTGTCGTACGTCGGTAGTACCCCAACGTAGACACAAAGGTTTACTAAAGTTTTATGTATATATATATTGACGATGAGTTCGCCGTTCGAGCTCTTCCCGAGTCCTCCCGTTGGATAAACTGATCAGCCCCAATCTCTCTAATTAGTGGACCACTAAAGGGGTAGAGTTTAGACCCGTCAGCACGGTCTAGCTCAAAAGTAGCAGACTGAAGGGTGGCTCCTTGTCAGCCACCAGCACAACTACCTTTTTACTATACCCACTAAAGGACGGTTAAGCCCAAACACTAGCCAGCTCGTACACTAATTATTAAGATTGACTAAAGGACCAGCAGTCCAACCTAGACTCTAGCCGCACACACACACACACACACACACACACAATTTTCGATATCACCGTGAAAATAAAATATTGCGCTAAGTCAAGATTTTTAAATAGCTATTTTATTTACGAAAAGTATTAAACACAAAAGTCAAATATAATATAACACAAAAATTAATTAAATCTTACAAAAAGTATATAGTTATTCTTACGTCAACAACCTAACCCGCAACTCGACGTTTCTTCGACAAAAACGTCCAGTCTCGTCTCGCTCAGTCTCGACCCGTGTCGACCCCCTATACTCTTCATGTTTCCCTTTTATATTCTTTTTCCCACCATTATTAATTTGCTTACCCTGCATTTCCCTTTTATATGGAATTATTTTATTGCTTAGGAGTTTAAAAATTGCTTACTACTATGTAAAACTTATATTATACTAAAATCGATGTAATTCAATACTTCCTCATATATTTACTACACGTCTTTGAAACTTTTAATGAATTTAAAATTTAACTTTAAAAACCAAAATAAAACATCGGTTATTTTTAGTTTTTAAACTTTTCAAATTTTAGGTTTGGTTGTTTTAAAAGCGATTTCAAATACTTTTAATTTCTACAGTTATTAACTTTATAAATTGAAAACAAAATCGATATAGGTCAACCATCTTACTAAATAACTATAACCCCCCAGAAAAAATTTTCAAGTTACTTCAACAGGATATCCGGTTGTTATAACCTATATCAAATATGTGAAAATTGTGTATATTAAAATTATATTATTTATTTATATTTATATTTATTAAATTGAGTTATTTTTAACACGCTTATATTAGTTTCACCTGGATTTATGTTAGTAAATCTCCGCGCGCACGTGTTATTATTCTCGCGTATCCCGTTGTCTATTTTTATTCGTTTTTTTTTATTATTATTATCTTTAGTTACACATTATTCTTGAATTTTTAACTATGTAATACTTTTTAAGTTCATCCCTTATGCCTTGTAAGGGGGTCAACTTCTGTTTTTTTTAAATGGTAACATATTTTTAATTTAATAAAATGTTTATGTTTATAATTTAATAAATGGCACTTGAATTTTTAATATAACTTAATTCGTTTATTAGATATAATCATTTAAAGTTACAAATTTTTGATAAAAACTGAAACTGATAATACAAAAAGTATATCTATTGATAGTTATAATTGATAATAAACAATCCGTGACTGTGACAGCAATGTCATAAAAATCCAATTAGCTAACTATATTTGTAATCCCTTGTGTATTATACCTGTATATATACTCAAAAATCACTAAAGATAATAATAAAAAAAAAAAATGTAAATTATTATTATTCTGTAAGTAATTGAGTGGGTTATGATAAAAAAAACCCAGCACAGTGGGGTCGCGGCATAGTGGGGATGTTGCATAGTTGGGTCCAGTATAGATTTAATCTGACAGTGATTAAAATCACTATCATAAGAAACGCTTCGATGCAAATCAGTAGATAGTGTTTAATTCTAAGAAATTGGTGGATAATTACAAAAGCTACATTATCTGCTAGTTTCTTATTAATACCCTGATTAAGATAAAGTATGTCGAATGAAAAAGGGATTATTAAAAAATATTATTTCTCATAAAAAAATTGTGTTGATTCGTACACTTTTCAATGAGTTATAGCATTATAAAGTTAAAAATGTAACCAACCCAACCCAACATCAACTCCTATTTCCTTAATTATATCCAGATTAGTAATTATTTTAATTATATATTATATAATTTTTATAATTAATTATTTTCAAATTATTATTGATTTTTAATATGTTAAAAGTAATCATTTTGAACCTACTTCTTTTTGTTCTTTAAAGTGAAAGTTTTAATAAAAAAAAAATGAATTTATTACCATAACTTTTAACTCAACTTGCAAGTTTGAAATAAATATTATTAAATAGAAAAAAAT